AGTTTTTAAGAAGAGACTGGACAGCCATTTGTCCGAAATGGTATAGGGTTTCCTGCCTGAGCAGGGGGTTGGACTAGATGACCTCCAAGGTCCCTTCCAACTTTACTATTATTATTATTATTATTATTATTATTATTATTATTATTATTATTATTATTATTATTATTATTATTATTATTATTATTATTATTATTATTACCTCAACTTACAGCCACAGTTGGGACCAGACTTTCCCAGTTAAGTCAGTCAAACTCAATTTTGAAACTTTTCTGCCATGGTTTTAAAGTGAATCATATAGAGATTAGGCAAATCCAACTTTCTCCACTGACTTCTCAAAAGTGATCAGATGACCCTAGGATGCTGCAACCGTCATAGGTACATGCCAGTTGCCAGCCGCCTGAATTTTGGTCACATGACCATGTTGCGACAATCATAAATGGGAGGACGGGGTTGCAAATCACTTTTTCAATACTGTTGTGACTTCGAACAGTGTTTAAATGAATGGTTGTAAGTCAAGGACTATCTATACCAGGGGTGGGCAACTATGGCCCCTTTACGACCTACCACCCAAAACTTTTCCAACTTTTATGATTTTTTTCCTTGAAAACCTTTTTTTCACATCCAAGAAGCTTCTTCAGTTCCTAATGTAGAACTGAAGAAGCTTCTTGGATGAGAAGCAAGACTTTTTCAAAGGAATAAAGCAAGAAAGGCCAACTGCCTTTTGGAAAAGCACCTTAGGGACAACCATGAATTCCATAGACATTTACAACCTATGGACTTCAATTCCCAGAATTCTTGAGCCAGGTGTCTCAGGAATTCTGGGAGTTGAAGTCCACAGGTGGTACAGGAGCCATAGTTGCCACCCCTGATCTGTACAGCTTTCTGTCTTTCTTGCTCCCATCTTCCCAGCGAATGAAACTCTGCTAAATTTCTTTCACCCCAGGATTTCCAGGAAGTGCACATGGAATCCATGATCCCTAAGGCTTCTTCTCTGAATTTACTCCACCTTTGCTGTAGTTCTTCTCCAGAGTAGCCAGTGCCTGTAGCTGTCCCATATGATATCTGATGGAATGGTCTAAGTTGACAGTATACTTCAATAATTTCTTCCCTTCTTGTACGGTGAATGGAAAATCACCGGACAAGAATCTCTCAAAAAGTTCAGGGTCGCCATCCAAGGCCATGATATTCTGGAGTTCTTTGTGCTTGGAGAACAGCTCAGGACAAGTCTCCACAAAGACGTCCCACATCAATTCCTTCTCATAATTGTTGGGTGGTTGGCACTGCAGCTTGTCTTCCATGCATTGGAGGATCCAACTCAAGCGACACGGCCATTGGTCGGCCAACACCACCCAACTGGCGACTGCCCGGGCACAGATATTGTGCCTCAGCAGATGCTGTTGAGTCATCAACCTGATTGTAATGGGGATGGTGTTGACGATCCTCCTCATCTGGATAATGCTATCTGGGACATAATGGTAGAGACAATCTTGTTCGTTATGCAAGCAGTGAAAAGCTTCATGGATGTATTGCACTGCCAGTGCATCGATCTGTTGTTGGTCTTCTTGAACCTCTGCTTCCATGTTCACCAGTGCTTCACCATTCCCTTTGGACTTCGTCACTCCCAACTCCATGTTCCTTGTAATGATGCCGTACATCAGATCTTCCCGAGTCTGGAAGGCCTCATGCAAACATCGCATCTTGGATTTGATGCCAATTTCCGGGATGGAGAATGGAAGGGTCACTGTGCGGTTGAGGTACAGGTAGCCGTTGTCCGCCATTCCCTTCATGGTGCTAGCCTGCTCCAAGCAAGAAACGATGACACAGGGGTCAACCACCAGGATGAAGATGAAGGGGGCATTCCTATCGGAAAGGAGCGTGTTGATGGCGTTCAACACCCCAACCACACGTTCAGGGTAGCACATATCCAAGCATGTGATCTCAAAGACAATCCTCAAGCGCCGACGCTCAAAGATCTCCATGTAGTAGATAAAGCTGGAGAGGATCTCAATCTCTCTCTTCACTGCACTCATGAAACCCAGGTGGCTGGTGAACTTCTCATCGCTGGTCATGCTCTCGATCTTCTTCTTCTGGCTGATGATCAAGTGCTTGATGACAGGACTGATGGCTACGACGAACCCTGAGCCTGAAATGGCAGCAATGGTGCTACCAAGGACCTTCAAGGTTGTGCCATCCCTTATCCCTGGCACAAGGAGAGCGGTAGTAGCCAGGCCTGCGCCAGCTAGCAAGACCACCACCAGTCCTCCTGCGGTGCAGCACGTTTTCCTTTTAAGCCTCCATTCTCTTTGGGTGAATCCTGAGGCGAATTGTGGACGGCTTCCTACCACATGGTAGAAACTCAGGGGAAGAGGACCGAAGTGGTGGCGGATATGGTCACACAGGGTGGTGACCAATCCAGCCCACAATTTGTCACTGCCTGCATATTCCCAGGCGCTGAATCTTATGAAGAGGAACTCGATGGTTTTTCTTCGGAGGTGTACCTCGGTGATGACCGGTTGGTAGAAGACGATGTACCACAGGAGAGTCAGGTAGTTTATTCCTTCGGGGACTCGGGACCTCTGGTGAGTCCTCCTGTATTCTTCTTCTTCCCTTCGGATGGATTCTTTGAGCATGCATCCTGCCAAAGTCAGTTCAGAAGGGGTCAACAGAAGATCTGCCAAGTTCTCAAAGACCTCCTATCTATAGGATACTCTGTAGTTCAGGGTTGAACTACAGAGTAGACATTTCATTACAGAATTAGGGAACATCATCAGATGATGTTCCTAGCTGGGTCATGAAACATCGGCAAGAAAATCAACAAGCTCAAACACCACCAAAGACTCCACAGTCTTCCTCCTCCTCCTCCTCCTCCTCCTCCTCCTCCTCCTCCCCCCCTCCATAATTGTGTGATGGCGTGCTGAGTCCTCTAAGGTCACTTCCTCTCTCCCAAGAGACCCATAGATAAAGGATCCTTCTACTGAGGATGGGTCTACTGAGATTCTTCTCCATTGATTCCCTCAGCATGGCACTGACCTGCAATCTGGTCCAGTAGGGAGTGAATCCGTGTTCCGCATGGGGAATAAAAACCCACAGTGACTGGGGTGGAGGTATGGCACAATGTCTTTGATAAAGAACAGCAATAAATGTCATCCTCGGTCATCAGATCTGAGGAATGGAAAAGGGAAAAAAAAGGGAATGGAAAATAACCACATATTAGTGTCACTCAGGATAGGACCGAGAAAATTTCTTGCACTTATGACTATCAACACATCCCCATTCTCATGTGATCAAAATTCAGGCCCTGGGCAATTGGCATGTATTTATGAAGGTGGAAGCATCCATAGGTCATCAGATCACCATTTGTGACTTTCCTAGCCGACGTCTGATCAACAAAGTCAATGGGGGAAGCCAGGTTCACTTAACGACCGCACGATTCACTTAACAACGGCAGTGCTTTGCTTAACAATCGTGGCAAAAACGCTTGTAAAATCGGGCGCAAATGCCTCAGCAACCACCTTAACAACTATCTTGCCTAGCAACAGGAATTCTGGTCCCTTATCTCTAATCCCCTCTTGCCAAAAGCAGTGTTTGCCAACCTCAGCAAACTTACGAAGCGTGGACTTCAACTCCCAGAATTCCTCAGCTAGCATTCTTTAAGAGGCATGGATTTCTATTCCCGTCATGCATACCTGGGGGAATTCTGGGAGTTGAAGTCCACGCATCTTAAAGTTGCCCAGGCTGAGGAACACTACTAGCCTAAAGCGTCACTATGGAAAAACCATCCCTGACAGGCCTTTTGTTCCCCAAAGATCTGTCAGGAAAAAAAGAGTAATGAGGATAATTAGCTGGTGTAACTCATCCTATTGTAAATGCCTCAGAGCAGACCTGAGATTTCTTCATTGTTTTGGTTTTTTTCCCCCTCAGGTGCTTTTCTCCTTTCTGGAAGGAGCTGAGTGTTAATCATCCTATTTTAGGCTTTAAGATGCCTAAAGATTTATTTCTGGTGCATTTTCGGGATGGAAAAGCAACTTTTATCAGTGTCCTTGAAGGGGGTTTCTGCCTTGGAGAAAACATAGTTTTGAGGTCGAAAGGGGTCTAGCCTTGCTGTTTTATCATGGCAGGTGTATGGTCAAAAAAGTCAAGATGGCAGCTGTGATGAGCCAATTTCTGCCCATTTTATGTTGTGTACTTATAAACAGCAGTACTGTTTGTAGATGAATTGGATAGTGATTCAACTCAATACATTTTTGGGGGTTAGCTTCTGCTTAAATTCTGAATTTCTTCTGTGTTGGTAGTGAAATCTTCTCAGTTTATAGCCTAGGCCAGGAGTAGGCAACCTTGGCTCTTTTATGACTGGTGGACTTCAACTCCCAGAATTCCTGAGCCAGCCATGCTGAGGGGAAAAGGAGAGGTTTCTATGCTGAGCCATGCTGGCTCAGGAATTCTGGGAGTTGAAGTCCACCCATCTCCGAGTGGCCAAGGTTGAGAAATACAGGCCTAGGACAGGGGCAGGCAACCTTGGCTCTTTTATGACTGGTGGACTTCAACTCCCAGAATTCCTGAGCCAGCCTGGGGGAAACTTTCGGCCCCTTCATGACTCGTGGACTTCAACTCCCAGAATTCCTGAGCCAGCCATGCTGAGGGGAAAGGGAGAGGTTTCCATGCTGAGCCAGGCCAGCTCAGGAATTCTGGGAGTTGAAGTCCACGAGTCACGAGGGGGCCACAGTTCCCCCATGCTGGCTCAGGAATTCTGGGAGTTGAAGTCCACGAGTCATGAGGGGGCCATAGTTCCCCCATGCTGACTCAGGAATTCTGGGAGTTGAAGTCCACGAGTCATGAGGGGGCCATAGTTCCCCCATGCTGGCTCAGGAATTCTGGGAGTTGAAGTCCACGAGTCATGAGGGGGCCATAGTTCCCCATGCTGGCTCAGGAATTCTGGGAGTTGAAGTCCACGAGTCATGAGGGGGCCATAGTTCCCCCATGCTGGCTCAGGAATTCTGGGAGTTGAAGTCCACGAGTCATAAAAGAGCCAATGTTGCCTACCCCTGGCCTAGGAGATATTCTCACCTAGGAGAGCAATGTTTGAACCATCTACCCAAGCGGTGCTTGCTTTGAACAGCGGATTTGACCCTGCCAAGTTTTCCCTCCTCGCCTGCAGAAATGTAGCTTTGTGAAGAGTACCACTTCCTTAGCAGCTAGTTTTCCATTCACATGGAATGTTTGTGTAGAAACAGGTGTGTCTTATATTTTGAAATCATCCAGCAATGGAAACATAAAAGCAAGGGAAAGTCCCTAAACTGTTGAAGACTTGACTCAGCACAGATTTCTTCTCACCCAGTTAAAAAGTGCGTCTCATTAAGCTGAGATTGACACAGGGTTAATTCAGGACGAGACTCACAGTTCCTTTACAAATAAAGTTGTGAGCTGTAATGACGGTGATAAAGTCAGTTACCACATGATCGACTTGATTTTACAACCTTTTACGTGGCAGTCATTGAGTGAAATCTAGGAATTCCTCCTCTGGGGCCAGCAATTTCATTTCATTAGATTCCGAACTAATGAACCAAATTTGTGATGACATGAACTCTTAAGAAGTTCGTGACCTTAAATTCCCTTGCTTCTTACTGAAAATAAATGTGGTGTTTTTTTTAAATGCCATAAAAGCAAAGCTAGTGGCATGGCTTGCATTTTGGCTTTCTAAATCTTCTATGGCATTTTTTTTTCGGTGGCGTGCTGACCACAGGTTGCACATGCCTGGCTTAGAATAGAATAGAATAGAATAGAATAGAATAGAATAGAATAGAATAGAATAGAATA